AAACTAGTAGAAAAATACTTCAACTATATATTATAGAGGGTCAATACTTGATTCTAGTACCAGAACATTGTTTATCAGATTGTTGTATTTGAATATGCTTTGATGTATTTGTTATCCTGTTATACTGATTTAGAAAGTAAATAATATTAACTGATCTTTTAAAGAAAATAAACTGAAATGCTCACTTTTTATAAAAATTTTTCAAAAAAAAATAGTGGGCCAATAAGAGTATGTGAGATTCTTCTTGTAAGAGTTATATTTTTTTTTTGGTATTAAGGTAACCCTTCGGTTAAGTATTTTATTATTGTTTGGATTACTTTTACAACTAAATGATCTATATCTATCGTACATATATTTCTATATACATAACCAGGACCCCAAACAATCTATATTTGAAAAAATGCTAATAGTATCTCTTTTTTTAAAAAAGGTTATATTTGTAATCCAGGTAATAGGCTGAAAAGCTATATTTGAAAATGGATAATCAGCTTTTAGGTTAGATTTAAAATTTTGCTAATAATATCTTTTTTAAAAACTTTATATTTAATTTTTTGATAACAGATATCTATTTCGAATAAAATAAGTATATGTTTATTAAGCGATTTTCATTAAAATAATTTTTTAATTACATAGTATTTGCTATAATAAAGAAGCAGCTATGTGGCTTAGTTCTAACTAGAAATTTCTTGTTTGTATAATGATGATCTCTGGCGATAAAGACTGTTAATTTTAATAAAAATTCTCATAGCAATTTTATTTAGATTAGAAGTTACTGTATATAGAAGGTTATTTAATTATACGTACTTAAATAATTTTGGATATATGCATTTGCTTAACTTTACGAATAATATATATATCTTGTTTAAATACCAGAATTTTTTTTAAAAAAAAATCAGTATTTTTTTTTGATTAGAATTTTTTATTTAAATTATTTATATACAAGTAATACCAAATAGAATTTTTAGTTAGTATTTTCTAAAATAAAGATATATTGCTTTATAATTTATCGTTAAATAAAAGAACAATATTTATAAGAAGCATTGTGTATACTACTTTATACAAATTAATTTAACAATGACGATACTTATTTGAATTAAAATTTTTATACAAAAAATTTTTAAGTTTTTAAAGATTGTATCTTTTTATTTAGATTTAAATTTTTTTAACACTTATTTTTTTGAGTTTTATGTTATTTTTACAAACTATATAATTAAAAATGACTAAATATACACTTGAATAGCTTCAAAAAAATCCTAATATTTCTCGAATAATTGAAAATGGTATAGCTGTTATTTGTATTTGTGAAAAGCGTATTGCTCTTAAATTACAATATAATGAGACATATCTTAATTCTCATATTAATGGGCCAGAATGCAATCGGTCTACTAGAACACATGCAATAACTGAATTTTTGTTTTAGCAGAAAAAACAGTAATTCCAGAACAAGAACATGCACTTTGTAAGGGATTATGTGAGAATATTCATATTAATTATATTAAATGAGTTCAATTTGTTTCATTATATAGAGGTGCACCACATAAAGATACTATTGCACGATCTATGTTTCTAATATTATTTTCAGAAAATACTCTAGTTCGATATATATTGCTTAATAAAGTTCAGCATGAACAATTAGATAAAGCAAAAAGAGTACAAGCAAAATAGAAAATTGAAAGAAGAACAATATATATACAGAATTGTAAAACTTACATTTCAAATATTTTAGAAGTTTGTAATCAGTGTACTCTATTAATTCAGACCAAGTTTTTCATGTAAGTTATTTATTTATTATAAAAGTTAAAGTATATATATACTAAATTTATTTATTTTATATTAATTAGAATGCTTTAAATAAACAATCAGTTAAAGAAAATAGAAAATTTATATCCAAATCTCATCTTAGTTTTATCCACATAAAAATTTTGATCAGAAATTTGTTTAAGAAATGATGAACAAAATAATCTGTATGCAGCACCATCATCTTGACAGTCAACATTTTGAACATCTCTTTTATATAATATACTATTAGAATCTTGACTTAATTCTAATATATGATCATAATATGCTATAGTATAACCAAAAGTTAGTAATCTTGTACCAGAAAATAATACATTTTGTGCATCTTTTTTT